TGTGTGTGTGTGTGTGTGTGTGTGTGTGTGTGTGTGTGTGTGTGTGTGTGTGTGTGTGTGTGTGTGTGTGTGTGTGTGTGTGAGAGAGAGTGTGTCTGTGTCCAGGAGCAGGGGGAGTGATATGACAGACAGGTGGGGAGGGGGGAGGGGGTTTCAAATATATATTTATTTATTTTTTCCATTTGGGCTGAAAATAAAGATCCATTTGTGCCAGACTGGTCCTGAAAGTGATGCAGCAAGGAAGAAAGAAAGAAAAGCTAGTGCTTTAGAGCATTGGGGTTATTATTAATAGTGTTATTCATCTTGTGTTTTGTCACCACAGTAATTCAGATCGTACTTTCAGCTTTGGCTGACATTTTTTCAGCTATGACAACATTGTACGCTCCAATTTACTATAATTGCTAAGATCTGGAAACATGATCTTATTGCTGAGTAGTGTCGTCTGTATCTTTACAAATTATGTTCTGTTATGTCGAGAACTCTTCATCTTACAGTTTATATTCACTACTAATGATTAACACCACCGTTTCATTTAAGGGGCTGGTTGGGCAGGAGACTGAATGAATTAACCTTTGGCTTTTGATCATGCATTGCTCCAATATTTCCTTGGCCTTCTTGTTCTTTCTTGTCAGCACCTGGCATCTACATTACCCACAATGCAACCTTACAGCCCAACATTTGGTCAAAGATTTTAACATGTTATGCTTGTTGCAGCTAATGTAGCCTAACCCTGGAGCTTTGAGCAGACATGAGAAGTGGGCCACAGGTCTGATGACCTCACTTCTATCTTACTCCACACAACTTTTGTAAACTGAAGCAACAACTCTACTTGCAATAGCGTCCAATATGTAACTTCGGCCACAAAGTAGTCGCCCAACTAAAAATAAATGAAACTGTCCTGTTATCTTTAATAAAATTGGGGATTTCTCTTGAACACTGTTGGGAACATTTACATTAGATTATGTAAGTGCACAAGTCAACTAATTATTTAACATAGGTCTAGTCTCTTCACACATTGTGACAAATGTAACCAAATGGTGTTTCACCATTCCAGTGGAATTAGTTTCAACAAATCATTGTGAAACATAGAAGATGCTGACTTCATAAAATGTTGAATGTATTTGAGGTAAACCTCAAATCATAAGTCACTTCAGCTCTTCACACTCACACAGAGCTCCGTACCTCACAAAACCTCCCCATACCTTCTATGTACACAAAACCTCTTTCACCCACTCTTACAAACACACTGCTTGATCATAATCTCAATTCACTTCTATAGCGACACACACACACTCATATACAGATGCTGGGAGCAGTGTGAGTGCATGGTCCAGGTCTCTGGTGACAGACCAATCAGGGGGGAGATAAAGCCAGTATGATGCTTTAGCCTGGTAACCCACGGCGACCCATTTAATCCCACTGGCCAGTCTCCATGATGGAATTCAATTGATCAATCATGTAGCTCTGATGGCACCATTTCAGCCAGCTTATTGCTTTCTGCTTTCTGTCTATCGCTTACTCACACTCACACACACACACACACACACACAAACACACCCTGAAAGACTGACCCCAGCCCAGTGCCCACAAAGAACCAAAGAAAGATGGGGAGTAAAGAAGAAGTCAGAACCTATAGCAATCGAGCAGCAAGAACAAAGCATTTACTACTATTGTTGATCATTAATATTGTCCGTTCATCTGTACTAATATGTGTGTAGGTGTGTGTGTGTGTATGTGTGTGTGCTCCTATGTGTGCGTCTTGGTGTGGATGTGGGTGTGGGTGGGTGGGTATCTTGATATCCGGCTGGTCTCATTGTATCCATGGATGGGTAAAGAAACTCATTGCCGTGACGGGTTAAATCCTATTCACTGTCGGATACACACGCACGCACGCACACACAGGTGCACACCGAACACACACAAACACACGTGAACACTTACACACACACACACTCACAGCTGCCTCTATCTCTGTGAGTCAGTCTCAGAAGGGAAGCGCTTCTCTTCTCTCTTTTTCAGAGCAGAACAAAACAAACAATGAGCCCTCATTGTTCTCTCCTTTCTGCCTTTTTCCTCTCTCTTCCGCCTTCTCTGTCTCTCTATTTTGCTCACTCACTCTCTCCCTTCCTCTTGGTCCTCTCTCTCTCTCTCTCTTTCTCTCTCTCTCTCTCTCTCACTGACTCCCTTTGACTCGGCCTGCTGTTGCCATTTCCCAACAACCCAAGAACAGCTGATCCAAATACATTTGAACATGAGATGGTTAGTCATCTGTTTGTGAGTTTTTGTACATGTTTCACTCCATGTGTGCGTATGTGTGTGCGTGTGTTTGCATGTGTGTGTGTGTGTGTGTGTGTGTGTGTGTGT